CTTGTTCCTCCTCCGTCTTCGACGTATTTTTGCGCTACAAAACAAATCACGATAAATCATAGCGACAATTTGTAACGAAGAAGAAAAGGATTGTATTTTGCCAGAAATCAGCGCCACAAAATGCTGTTCGGGCAAAATAAATAATTACATTAACAGAGTTTTAGGATTTTATGGAACTTTAGAAAGTAACTGATTGCATCCAGCTACAGCCGTACTGATGAGTCATTGGAATTTGATTTAGGGGCATGAGAATGGTNAATCACCGGAAAAAATTGAGATGTGTACGATCGTGAAGTTAGGTCAATGACTCGTTTATATTTCACACCTTAGTGTGATGAACAGCAGACGAGGTAAACTCCACAGATATCAGGTTCTGTTGTTCAGTGATAGAAACTGATAGGCTGAGCCCCGGGACTTGGAGTGGTGAAGCACATAAGGCCACGCTAGGTTATGCGTGGTATTGAACCAGAATACAACAAAGCTGCCTACCACCAAAGTTCGGCAGCGGCGACGGGGTTCGAACCTTGGGCAATAAGGTCCAAAGATTATTATTTGGAACAATCAAATGTATGGTTAGGTCGTTTGTTACGCCACGCCACCCCAACCCTTTCTTGTATTTCGGATTGTCACCCTAATGTTCAACACAAGATCCCTCACACTAAAAACTGACCACAATGAACAATATATGAGGATCATTGATTTGGCTTGGAATGATTATCCTTTGGACCCGATCTATACTCACAATCTGCAGTTCAGTCAATTCAGCCATACACTGGGAAAGAACTGGACTCGAGTTTCGTTCTCCTCACAGCTCATCAGAAGTGCATATCCACAGTCTCGCCTGACCTTTGAACTCCGGACCCATTGAATTAAAAGCCTGTGTACTACCATTGTGCCAAGCAGCTCACACAGGGGCTGACCAGAATTATCAATGCAATTATGTTCAGACGTCGTCTTCAATGATGGGCACTCAGTCCAGTGAGCCCACGACAGCGACAAAGGATACACAGTGGTCAATCTGTCAACTCATCCGAAAGCCTACAATACCAATCCTGAAAAGAAATTGCGAGATCAACGGTAATATCAGAATCAATAAATCGTAAGAACAGAAAGAGCGCAAAAGTTTCGCACATAACGGAATACACAGAGATTTCTCGACGACCGTGTGAGAAGAAAACACAGCATCCGATTATGTGCCACGAAAATACCGGCGTACTGACTTTAAGATGATTTCACAGCGCATGTCGTTCGGATCACCGAGTGAATTGGACAATTAGGGTGCACAAACCCTGTCCCAATGGTTGAAGATCTACCTGTCGATATATATATATATATATATATATATATATATATATTTCAAACACGTCTGAATCTAGACTGTGTGCCAAACAAATCATGGTACAATAGTCTTTATGAAAAAGAAAAAAGTTTCACGAGTTGCATATGGGCGGAATACTGTCAGGTTATCCAGGTAAAGACAGGTGAATTTTCCTGAGGAATCCACAACCGCAGCCTGTGGCTAGCCAAAGCCAACGGGGCGGTGTGTGAAAACCGCAATCCATTGGGGGCCGGTGTCCTGTTCGTCAGATCATACGCCCTTCGGACTGGGTCAGACGTACAAAGTGTCCAATACACCTCGATGCCCAATCGAGAAGGGGACTATTGCCACAACCGGAAAGGTGTCGTTCGTATACCTCCTCTTGGTTGAATTCGAGTCAGGGATTTTGGCCAACTCCCCTACGTGAACTACCAGTGGTCCACCAACCCGGTTATAGCCCTGGCTACGGCTGTTTGTCCTCTCATTTTGGTGGGAAAACACCGCCACGAGAAGGCAGTGATTAGGGCTTCCTCAGCAGAGGTTATTCGAGACGCTTGGTTGTATGGGGGCATTTTGCGAAGTGCAAGGGGAGGGTGACCCTAGACACCCACCCCCGATCATACTGAGGCTTTTCGATACTCTGGATCAAATGAAGTACAGTTTTCACACACAATTACGCGGCTTAGGCTTAGGCTCGCCGAAGGTTCCGGTTGTGAATATGTAAGAAAAGCATCTGCTCTGGATTAGGCAATCTGACAAATGTGCCTTAAAACTAATCGTGACAGGACTTGGTAGTTATGTAAATACGCTTAAAGGTTTTTCGCATTAAATTATAAATGGGAATACCGTTTGTTGAAAAGTACGAAATGCGTTTCACGTCGCCATCATACTCGAAACGCTAAAAGTTCCAACTTTAAAGCGCTCCGTGTCCCACGTACACGAATTATCCATTATGCAACGAGAATAGATATTGGATGGTATGTAAACTTTTGGTAATCAGTTCAACACACACACACACATTACACCGCGTCATTTAGGATCAACCGAATGTTCGGTTACAGGATACAAATGCAAAACCGTTACACTGGAGCGAATCAATCACAGATATCAAAACACGGATAGAAATTTCCAGACAGATTTCGTGTATGGGAAGGTTTTATCAGCCTCCGCAATAAGTAATAAGCTGAGCCGGTCCTAAGTTAGTTGATTACTTCAAAAGCTAATCGGAATCCAAGTAAACCCGCGGATTATATATATATATATATATATATATATATATATATATTACAGAACAGCTTGTTTCGCCTACCGGACTTCGTCTTCAATAAAGGATGCGATGAAATTTTATCGTAGGGTGTACGTAGACTGCTGAAATGCCTCGCTTATGCCTCGACTTATTTCGCATGTAAAAACGAAGGATACGAACAAGTTGTGGGCGTAACGTGATCGGTAAAAAACGATATAAAGCAGATATAGAAAAGAACGTACGCCCTTCTTGCGTATTTCTGAAAGTCTATCGCGCCGTTGTCTAAGACTGCTTTGAAACATGGCCAACTTTTGTGCAATTTCCTCTTCATCCTCGTTCAAGTGACCTTGCTGGTTGGACCGGGGAGAGAAACGCTTAGTTACTGTGTGGACTACTTCATCCACAACTAGTTCGTAACTTTGTACCTCTTCTGCGAGCTGATGAACCAAATCATCCAAATATCTGGATGAACCGGAAATATCCGAAATATCTGAAACTTGAGATCGGCCATCATCGACCATGGTGGCGAAAGTATTCACGGGACCTTCACCAATGAGAGGTTCGTCCATAGGGCTTGCAAAAGCACAAGTTTGTACCCCCATAGAATTCGTACAGATTGCCGATGGCGGTTTCAATTCCGATTCTGATTCGGTTAGGATTTGGGGATTCGGATCCACATCAGTTTGCGTCTGGTCATCGGTCATCGTAGTTACTCGTTGAACAGCGACAGTTTTGGTAACAGGCACCTGCGTTTGGCCATTTTGTACAATATCTGATGTGGGTGTGTGTACTCTAATTCACGAGGGAAGGTGAACCAAATATACATGTAGGGAGTAAAATGCAGAAGAAACAAGTTATTTAGAATAAATATTAAAGGACATGAATATCGATAGGGCTGTATGAATCACAAAACAGATCAATAAAGTGAATGCCAAGGCGAACTGTTGGCTTATTGGCTACATCACAAGTACCTTGACTTTCACGGAACCACGTAAACCAAAACACAACAGATAGAGTCGATCTCTCTCTGCATTCATTGTATTTAATGGATTTAACAATGAACAGCTTTGAAAAACGTGGTCATTAGCGGATTATGTTGCGAAATTAAACTTACCCGGACGAAGGAGGATCAACTTTCTCAAAATCTGTGGATGTATCTGTGAAAGGAAAAGAATACCACTCCAATCAGGCTGCATTTTGAGGATAACCTATTGACAACTTCATGCAAGAGGAACAGAGATTTTACAAAGGTTAACTTGAATCTGAGTTTCCCCAAGGGTGACAGCCGTTGTCAATACAATCTCCAAATCACCTGATCACCTCACCACTACAATTCTTGTGGTGCATGATATATAGTTCTGTGCGTAAGTTGTTGGATTCGCTATCTGCAGGTTTTCGCTTCACAGTGGTTATCGAGCAATTTATGGTCAAAATGGTGAGCGTGTTGTTTAACGAAAGCTTCTGGTCATACGATTATAGCATTTTGTTTGAATGGTCAAAAATGTTTTGTTAACTAGGCTTAGGTAACTCAATAGGGAGACTAAGGAGTGAAGGAATTGAGAGGCAATGATTAACAACAAAGGCAATTATTCAGCCATGAAATTTACTATCGCGTGCATAAACCACAATACGAGTTCCTGTTCAGTGACGGTTGCACTGACGTGTGAGACTTACTTACGATTTATTATTATTATTTATTATATATTTAACACCGGCTTGTAGATATGCAAGGTGCCAACGCCACAACAATAACAATAAAACGGGATAGGTGGATTGGGGGTACAGAACAAAGTGGAAAGAAGGTGGAACAGTGAAGTAGAGAAAACGGAAGATAACTCGAATGACAAAATTCTTTTGTGTTTGCCCGAGGATATTTTGGTGTTATCGTTGTTTTTACGGGGCACCGGATTTCGACAGACAGACCGTACAGCATTTGCGCCACTG